AAAATAAAAATTTATTTTATATTATAAAGATTTCTTAAAGGGTTCTTAGATTTGTATCCTTCAGTGTATAAACATGTAACAAAGTAATTCATGATACAGCCATTAGCAGTTAATATTTTCCAGGCCTCTTATGAAGCTAGAAGGCAAACCAAAGATTGGTGGGGCAGATTTTGTTTTCGGTCAAAATTTCTTTATCAGGATGGAATTTTTTCAACCCCATCAAATCAACTCTACATATTGACATGTGAAAACAGAGTTTCAGCATTAAGTTCACTGAGTTTGCTCTCAAGGGGCCTTCTCATCAATCCTCTGGCCTTTCTTCCAGTAAATGCCAATGAACCAACCAGTAAATGCTGATGGGCCAAGCATGCCAAATAGAATGAGCTAATGTTAGAAGACACGAAATACATCCCCTGTCAAAGAGGCTAATAATATGCTAATATATACTTTAGACATCATTGTCATCTCAAATGATATCAATGAAGACAAAATAATTTTTCTTACTTTAAATCAACGTAAAGGTGCAGGTAGAAGTGCTATATTTTTTTCTAAAGAAGTATATACTCTATTAGGAAAGTAGAAAAAATAATGTTCATTATAGTACTGAGCTATCATGAAGGACTTGGCTTTCTACTAGAAAAGTCCTGTAGCACTCAATCAAAATATTTGATTTACCTTTACCTACCTCCCACCAATAGAAATGAAAAAGATAATGACTTGTGAAATTTCACTTACCTGAGTTGGCTGTGGGAAAACAATTATTGGAATAAAAAAGCTATGGAGCAACTGTGGGCTAACTATTCAATAAACAACTTCCAAGGTAAAATACACAATGCAGCATCTAAATGTCAGTCTGTAACCAAAGTAACAAAACTAGTTAAAAAAATTTTCTATTATAATATGATTCAATCCATTTTGCTACCCATCTTCTCTTTGCAAAGCAACTGGAAGAGATCCAAAATATCAGTCATCTCAATCACACTGGATAGGAGGAGACACTTGATCTGTTTGATTGTCACTAGTCTTGCTCTTAGGGTTCAAATGATGTCTGATTTGTCTATATTTGTGTCACTAGAACTCATGTTACCTTAACTCCTTGAACTGTTTTCCAAGCAAAGAGTCATACCCAAAGCAAGTTCTCCAAAGGAGGCCATACACATGCAAAAAGATGTTGCCAGATTTTCCAGAAAGATTGCAGCCATGCTGACTTAGTTTTAGTCCAAAAAGACCCATTTTAGACCTCTGATCTCCATAACTACAGGGTATAGGGTAATAAATTTGTGTTGATTTTAACCCACATGTTTGTGGTAATTTGAACAGCACCAATAGAAAGTTCTCGAGTTACACACACACACACACACACACACACACGCGCGCACACCTACCTAAAAGAGAGCCCGCCAAGAAAATAGAAAGTTACTCATTGGCAGATGTCTTCCAATAGATGATTTACTAAAAAATACCCCACAATTATGAAGTCATCACTATCACTTGCTGACATAAAGAAAAGCTTAGTATATACAACCCATAAGATCTCACACAAATAATGAAAACAACAGCAAGTTAATATGTGGGTAAAGGACTTCTGCAAATAATTTGGAAAAGAAAAAAATATAAATGGCTAATAAAATATGAAAATGTTTCAGATGAATAAAACTATTGTAAATTAAATAAATGAAGAGATATAATTTGTATATTATATTGGCTATATTTTCACGGTGTGGCAAAGCAAGCATTATCATTCACTGCTATAGTAGGATAAAATGTGTTATTTATGGCACTTCTTGGAATCAGATAATCCAAAATACAGAAAAAGTATTAATATTCATCATAATAGTATTTATAATGAAAACAATGTTCAACAACAGGAGGTTACTTAAATACATTATCATATATAAATTATGCTAATATATGTAGTTAGTAATAACTAAGCTTATGAAAAATATTGATGTGGGTCATAAGACTATAACCATGGCATATAGCAACTATGAGAAAAATAATTGGAAGAAAATCCATTCGGAAGTTTTTAGTAATAGGATTGTAGGCCATTTCTTCTGCATGCAACTGGTTTATTGAATGAGCTGGACTTGGTAGAATACAATTAAAATGCATTTTATTCTTCCTCCCACTGCCCCTTCAAGTACAGTTTCTGGCCATCGGTCTATCTCACCCTTTGTATGACATTTCAGGGCAGAACTTATAGCTCTTTTGGTCCCCTGTAGATATTAAAAGGCCCAGCCCATAATAGCAAAAAGATAAGAAATAAAAAATGTTGCAGAGACTCTAGCAGGTTTTGCTCAGTGAATAGAGCGTCGTCCTGTCAACTGAAGAAACCCAGGTTCAATTCCGGTCAAGGGCGCATACCTTGGTTGCATGCTTGATCCCCAGCCCTGGTTGGGACGCCTGCGGAGGCAACAAATCAATATGTCTCTCTCACATCAATGTTTCTCTCTCTGTGTTCACCCTCTCCCTTCCACTCTCTCTAAAAATCAAAGGAAAATATCCTCAAATAAGGATTAACAACAACAGCAAAAAATGTTGCAAAGGATTTGGAGAAAAGGGAACCTTCATACACTGTTGGTGGGAGTGTAAATTGGTACAGACACTATGAAAAACAATATGGAGATTTCTCCAAAAAGTAAAAATATAACTATCATATGATCCAGCTATTTCACTCTGGGTATTTATCCAAAGAATATGATAACACTAATTTGATAGCATTAATATGATAACACTAATCCCCATATTCATTGTAGGATTATTTACAATATCCAAGATATGGAAACAACCTGTGTCCATTGATGGGTGAATGGATAAAGAAGCTGTGATAGATAGATAGATAGATAGATAGATAGATAGATAGATAGATGATAGATGTAATACTACTCAGTCACAAAAAAAGAATAAAATCTTGCCATTGCCGCAATATGGATGGACAGCGAGGGTATTATGTATTCTAAGTGAAATAAGTCAGATGGAGAAAGACAAATATCATATGATTTCTTTATTCATACATGGAATCTAAAAAAATAAAACAAAACAAAAAATTCTTAGATACAGAGGACAAATTGGTGGTTACCAGAGGGAGGGACTTTGCAGGAGGGTGAAATGGGTAAAGCGGTCAATTATATAGTCTTAGATGGTGACTAGACTTTTGCTGATGATCATTTGTAGAGTACACAAATGTCTAATGATAATATCCTACACCTAAAACTTATATCATATTGTACACCAATTTTATCTCAATTTTTTTAAAAAGAAAAAGTTCAGCCCCAGCCAGTGCAAACTCTCCTCTACTTAAACTCTCCTCCTCAGCCTGGGTCTGAATTCAACTTGCAGATCAGCAGTGAGGAAGGGACCTCTCATTGTTTTCCCCTCTTCTCACTCCACTTCTCTCTGTTGGGTTATTCCAGAGATGCAGTGAAAGGAGGGCTCATGGAGAAGAGATAAGGAACAGGTCTTACATGGCTGGTTCCATTGTAATCCAGCAGGAGGTGCTCCCTGGGTGGAACAGATTCCAACTGCAGCTCTTCCTTTTGTAGGTGCTTTTGTGGGTTCTTCAGAAACCCACCCCAGCCATTCTTTGGCACCCTCACCTGGTTCTCTGGATGATCGGCCTCTCTAGCCAGCCACTTGACATTCTTACACATCTTCTATATACTAAGTAGCAGCATCATTCTTCTGAGGCCACCTGCACAGCCAGCTCTCTCCAAAAGGCTTTACCTGCCAGGCTAAGGGCACGCATACACCTGACCGGCCATGCCTCCCAGCCCTGTGTCTGCACACACTGTCACCAAAAGCACACTTAGCCACAGCCCTTCAACTTTTGACTTCTTCAAATGTGGATTAAGTACCAAGCACCTGTGTTTCCCCAAATTACAAGAACCTTGTCAAGCTCCCCATGTTTCTGTTTCTCTGAAGTACCCCCTCACTTGGTTTGGATGAGAAAAGGCACCCCTTGGGGTGAGAGGACCTTTCAGTACTCTGGCAAGTCTCTCTATATAAGTTCTTCTCACTCTAACCTTTCGCCCTCTGAGAGGCTTCTTGGCCTTTGTCTAGACAGTCTAAGCTGGTTATGAGTTCAAAGTCCTCATCTACCTGGGCAGTCACAAACACCAGTTACATTATTCTTTGCATTCAACCTTTGACACTGGGACTATCAGAAAAGTTTCCTTCCCAATGTTATTTTATAAAGAGAAGGAGGGACAGACTTTAACAATGGAGAGAAAGACAAGAAGACAGACTCTAATACTTTTTCATCAAAGTATTTATCGAAGTAATTTCAGACTAAACTAGATTCGATGACAATTTTGTCTTCTAAGAATTTCAGTGTCACTGGCTCCATAGGATAAAAATTGTCTTCTCAATATAAGTAGAAAAAAATGTAGAAAGCCAGAAAGCACCTGCATTTATTCTTTTCACTACTAGTATCCAAAGTATAAATGATCTTATCTATTTTATTTTACTACTAATACCTGAAAGTTAATGCATTTCATTATGATATAATTAACAAAAAATGGCATTTAAATAGAATTTATATTCTCTGAGCATTTTAAATGGTTCAATAGATGATTGGTGTTTAATTGATAATTAATGTATTTTGATTTCTTTTTTGTTATTAAACATTAAAATAGTTGTAATAATAATTAATGAGTGCAGCTACAGATTGCTCTATAAATAGTCAAAACTTTAAAATATATGTTCTGCATAACCTGTGGTGATCTTAAAATGTAAGACCTATAAATTCCAAATCAAAACCTAAGTGAAATACCTAGAAATTGGTTCTTTCCCATTATTGTATTTTTTTTAGAAAGCTATTAAAGCTGAGTTGAAATGAAAAGCCTCCTTAAAATCACAGCTATTATGCAAAACCAAGATTTTTTCCTATTACAGATTTATAGACGTTACTGCCATATATTCTTTCTCTATTGGATTATATAGGCTCTGTAATTATGGACATTTGGATTAGATTCTTAAAGTATTTTTTCTCTCCTTTGCAGTTGGTTGGTTTTGTGTATGCCTGTTATGTGATCAGTATTTTCATGGAAGAAGAGGATACCTGTAAGTATTGTTACATCTCCCTGTGGGTTGATTTTGGATGAGATATAGCTCCCAAAACTAATCATTACAGGGCTCTGAAATCATTCCCATTTGGAACTGAAAATGACTGAACTCACCATCGTAAAGTTACAATCAAGCATTTATAAGCCAAACTGCACTCAAATCAGATGGCACTGAGTATTGCAACTCTCAACCCAAATTGTATGGGAAGCTTCCCAGAGACACAGAAGCCTACAGATTGCTGTCACAACATGTCTTAGTAACTTTTCATCAGAGACCTAAACAGTATGCTGAGTAGAAAATTCGGGGTTGCTTTATCCATCACCCCTGTAAGGATGCTGGCTGCAGAATTTTGAAATCTGACTAATAGCAATGACATCAATACAACAATACCCATTATAGCAAGCTCTACATGTGTATAAACTATATAAAATGCTCTGAGAAAACTAAAAATGACAATCTTCTAGGCAAAATGTAAAAAACAGAGAGATGCTGAAAAAGCTAAGCAATCACATTTTAGCAGGAACACACACACACACACACACACACAATACCTACACAATCTGAAAAGTTATATAGGTAGAGATTTTGCAACATAGGTCAACCACTGGCATTTCTTAAACACCTACCTGCTAATGTATAAGGCACTTCTTGGCACAACTCTGTCATGGGCTCACATAATACCAAAGGAAATTTTAATTTATTTAAAACTAATAATTATTACACCCAACCATATCAGAGATTTGGTTATATCATTGCAGTTACTGTCTGAGTTGTAAAGTTGACTCTTTAACAAAATGAGGGTAAGTTTCTAGCTAGCCATGTAACTTTCTAGAACACAACTCCAAAGGGGTCTGATGAATGCTCCCCACCAAACAGAGTACATGATACATAAACTGGAAACCAGTTGGCAATAAGTTCCCACCTCAATTTATTTGACCAAATCGAATAAATATTAGACCCTGGGAAGAAACTCATCAGGCAGTGAAGACATGTAAACAGACTGCATCTTATCTGTTATGCTTGCCTTGGGTATTTTTTTATGCTAGATGAGCCAGCAAGTTTCTGACATTTCAAAAGTGCAGCTGTAATGACAACACTTCCCACTATGAGGTTGAACATCAAAAAGTCGATCCTTGAGAGTTCCATTAGTAGTTAATTCTACAATCTGACAATGTTAGTGTATAAAAAGTCAGCAGCCTGCCTCCTACTCACAGCCAAAACACAACTGGTTGAGTATGAACAGTTTTACCTGGAAGAGGGATCAAAAGAAAATGATTAGAATTGGGGATGAATAAATACTTCAGAAATTGAAACACTGAATGATAAATCTCAATTAAATTTGGTATGATACTTTTGAGTAGGTATTGAAAGAATCCCTTCTTTTTTTCTCACTGAATTGGTTGGAGGCTCTCAAACGATGCGAATGCTCTGTCCTGCCTTACTGAGTGTGAAAAGGCAGAATAATCAATAGTCTTTATTATCTAATAGAATAAATATAGAAAGGACTTTTCTTTGAGGCCTGTGATTTTTAAGTAAACCTGGAAAATGCAAAATGGCATGCATAATAAAAGGTTCATCTAAATTGAGTAAACGTTTTTTTGACCTTCTATCAGCCTTCTGGTAGAGTATTAATGTGAGTGTATATAGATTATATGATGCTGGCAGATATTATAGTTCCATCGACTTTGGTGTCTTTAATTAGCTTAAGTTTCTCTATAGAAATCTCTGAATCAGCTATTTTAATACCCATCAAACTGGGATTGAAGCAGCTGCTAGCAGCCTTTTCCATTAACGGTTTAATTCTGGTGTTTGTTATTGGGGCCATGCATTAAGTTACAGAGAGACATCTGGATATAGTAGTTGTGTTACCATCAATTCAAATAATACTTAGAGTCAGAAACTGAGTCTTGTGTGCTCAAAACAAAGTAAATATGCCCTCGACCAACCTGACATGATAATCTGCTGGAAGAGAGATGACAGTGAAAAGCAATCACAAACCTTTTAGTCTGATCGTTCTCAAGCAAGGGTAATTTTATATTCTTTTTATTGATAGAAGTAGGAATCAAAAGTGCACTTGTAATTGAATTGCCCAGAGTCTCCAGAAGGCAGATGTGAGCAAAAAGAAATCTATGAAACCAATTGCAATGATCTCATAGACTAGTACAATTTGTGCCAACACTTAGCTTTTAGGTGCAATAATGAACTGCCCTTTGGATATGACCTTACCAACCCACAGCTAAGAAGACGTGTCTTTTGAATTGTTTTTCCAAAAGTAAAACATAAAATAAGAAAACAATACTGCTAGCTTTCCAATTTGTCTAAGTACACTTCTGGAAAGCTTATTCTGAAAGGTAACTGCAAGTATATAATGTAATGTCACACTATTTTGGCAGACAATATATTATTTATCATTTCCTATTCCAACTAATGAAAATCTCTGCATTATTCAGAATGCAAAGTTAAGCCTTGCTCTTGGACTGAAAGCTGTCAGCCAGCCTTAAAATTAATAACAGCTATCTGCTTTTCTCCTCTGCCATGCTAAGTGCTTCTATGGGACTAACATTTCAGTGATGGACATTTCTGAAAAGGCCTAAATGCTTGAGGAAACATTTATTTCCAGCCACCCATCTTCTTAGTTACTTCTAGGCTTCCTTTGCTATTTCCTATAAAGACCATGATTACAGGTCAAAGAGAAGAAAAGCTCACAAAAGGAAGAGTGCTGATGGGTGGGGTCAATACTTTCTATCATCCATTTTCATGAAAAACCTAGTTTTATATATTTGCTTCTTTTTTATTTCTTTTTAAAATATCTATCAATCTCCATGAGCACTTTTGTGAGACCAGGATATTTGGAATGTGTAGTCATAAAAACCTGTCAACATCTTGTTTGTGAATCATCTTTTGCTGAAAATGAACTTGTGGGCTTGCTCTATCTTGTCAAATTTACTAAAAAGAATGTTTTAATTCAGGGAGATGTGGAGGTGAGGCAGAAGATGCTGAAAACAGTATTAACTTGTACAGTTATAAATATTGCCAGGCTTTTTCAGGGGGTCTGTTGCTAACGCGACTCCTTCTATGTCAGCTTGCCAGTTACAACTAGGACATCTGTTTGGACTCACAAAGGCCAGTCTGGGTTTTAGATGTGGAATGGTGGGAGAAAAGTATATTGAAAACCCTACCAGTTTTAAAAAGGAAATGAACCCCCACATGTGGGTTCAATACTTTGCATTGAATAGCTCAAAGTAGCTCTTTGTGCAGCCATCTGACCCCTTCTAGTCTACTTTTGGGGAATTTTTCAGTGGAAGGAAGTGTGACTATTGGAAAAATATTCCATAGCTCTACTGCTCCTTGAGGTTTCCTGCAGGCTAGTATTCATGTATTTGCCTCTTTACTCATGAGTTCCTTTTAAAAGAATAAGGTGATATTACCATAGCTATGATGTGAATTGGAAATAAAAATAGCCCCTATGTCCTCCTAAGAATTTAGCTTTGTAATTGATGGAGAAGACAGAGAGCAGTGGAGTAACCCTGGCCAGAGGGGGAGAAGAGAAAGCAGCAAGGGCTGGATGATCCTCAGAATAGAAAACAGGTTGGTTGTCTTGTGAGCCTTGAAATATTTGCGTATTTAAGGGTGGAGGAACAGAAGAATTTTCTGAGTCAAATATGGAGAAAAGCATGAGACTTGGGTAAGGGTGATACTGTTGTCACAGTCGACATTTCAAAGGAGTCATAGTATTTGTGCAATAAACCATTAAAAGTCTACTGGTTCTCAGAGAGTATTTCTTTTGGTAACTATCTGGTGAGTTGCATGTAACTATCCTCACCAGAGTTTAGATATAGAACCTGTAACATTTCTCCTAATTTGCCAAGGTGACTACCAAAAAGCTACAAAAGTACTAGCAATCAGAATAGATCTGTGAGGGCAGGATCTTTACTCTGGTCCCTGATAGAACCATAGAGCCTAGAAAAACGCTTAGCATCCAATTAAGAAATGTTTGTTGAGTGTATATGTTAAATGTATTCTCTTGGCCTAGCAACTTATTTTTCAAAATGTTTTTCAAGATCCCAAGATTTTCAAATCTAATGAAATGACTATGCCTTGTGTTCAGAATTTAGTGAGATGCCTGATGCATTTACATATATTTGTTTTTGGCAAATGGAGGTCCTGTATCTCTTAAACATAATTGAATGGAATTTTTGTAATTTAGAATGTCATGATATTGGAAGATGAATTAAACCTCCACTATACCACATCAGAGAAAGAGCTTGTCGATTCCTGGACAAAACATCTCAGAGGGAACGGAGACTTGGAAACTTGGTGCATTCAGAGACTGAATCCAAGTACAAAATATGGCCCAGAGGACAGACCCACTGTCAGAGAGTCAGGCCCAACAGGATGGTGATTTTGGGCAGCCCACGCCTGGGAAAGTTGAGCAGCACAGAATAGGATCCTAGCTACAGTGTTATGATTCAGAGATAGACTTCCAGTCCTTTGGTGGGTTATTAAGACAGTTTCTCAAGAATAATATTATAGTTTCCTCAAAAAACTAAAAATGGAACTCCCATTTGACTGCGTGATCCCACTTCTAGGAATATATCCCAAGAAAACAGAAACACCAGTCAGAAAGGATATATGCACCCCTATGTTCATAGCAGCACAATTCACCATAGCTAAGATCTGGAAACAGCCTAAGTGCCCATCAGTAGATGAATGGATTAGAAAACTGTGGTACATCTACACGATGGAATACTATGCTGCTGTAAAAAAGAAGGAACTCTTACAATTTGCAACGGCATGGATGGAGCTGGAGAGCATTATGCTAAGTGAAACAAGCCAGTCAATGAAGGAAAAATACCACATGATCTCACTCATTCATGGATAATAAAGACCATTACAAACTTTTGAACAATAATAGATACAGAGGCAGAGCTGCCTCAAACTGATTGTCAAACTGCAGTGGGAAGGCCAGAGAGGGTTGGGGGGCAGAAGGGAGGGGA